CACTGTGTCAGGTTTTGTCTTTTCATTGGTATATTCAGACCACTTATATTTAAAGTGATTATTGATATAGTTGGGTTGATGGTTATCTATTTGTAGCTCTTTTCTATTTCTTGTATGTATGTCTTTGCTTTTTAAAATCTTCCCCTCTTTTTCTGCCTCTTATGGTTTTAATTAAGCTTTTCTATGATTTCCTCTTTTCCTCTCCTAATATATTAATTATACCAAATTTATTATTTACGACAGGCTTACCAAATTTATTATTTATTTTTCATTTGATTATTATTATTTTAGTGGATGCTTTGGGATTGCAATATGCATTTAAAACTAATCTAAGTCTGGAGCACCTGGGTGGCTCAGTCAGTTAAACATCCAACTCTTGATTTTGGCTCAGATCATGATCTTGTGGTTCGTGAATTTGAGCCCTGCATCTGTCCCCAAGCTTATAGCATGGAGACTGCTTGAGATTCTTTCCCTCTCTCTTAAATCAATAAACAAACAGACAAAAAATGAAACTAATCAAAGTCCAATCAAATAAAGCTATATTGCTTCAGAGCTAGTGGAGGCACCTTATAAAATTATTGTACTCATTTGCTTTTGCCATTCATTTCACTTATCCATAAGGCTGTACCTACCCAGTGCACTGTTGCTATTATTATTTTGAACAGTTTTCCATTAAGGAAAATAAAAGGCTTAATTTTACCTTTATTCCTTTTCTCATGCTTTTACAGAGATTCTGAGTTTGTGACCTATATTTTCCTTCTCTGTGAAAACTTTAAACATTTCTTGCAAGGGAGGTCTGCCAAAAAATGCCATCAGTTTTTGTTTGCCTGAGAAACTATTTCTTTTGCATCTCCACCACTTAAAAATAATGTGGTAATGGGGCGCCTGGGTGGCGCAGTCGGTTAAGCGCCCGACTTCAGCCAGGTCACGATCTCGCAGTCCGTGAGTTCGAGCCCCGCGTCAGGCTCTGGGCTGATGGCTCGGAGCCTGGAGCCTGTTTCTGATTCTGTGTCTCCCTCTCTCTCTGCCCCTCCCCTGTTCATGCTCTGTCTCTCTCTGTCCCAAAAATAAATAAACGTTGAAAAAATGAAAAAAAAAATAATAAAAAAAAATAATGTGGTAAAATATAACATAAAATCATCTTAATGATATTTTAATTTCAGATGTACAGTATATTGATTCAACAGTCTGGTACATTACTCAGTGTTCACCCTAAGCATAGCCACCATCTGTCATCAAACAACATTTTTGCAACATTATTGACTATATTCCCTTTGTTGTACTTTTCATCTCTGTGACTTACTTATTTTGTAACTGGAAGTTTGTACTTAATCACCTTCACCTATTTTGCCCATCCCGCCCCCCGACTTACCTCTCCGCAAGCAGCCATCAATTTGTTCTCTGTATTTAAGAGTCTTGTTTTTTTTTGTTTCATTGGTTTGTTTTTTAGATTCCATGTGTAAGTGACATCATGGTATTTGTCTTTCTCTCACTTGTTTCACTTAGCATAATACCCTGTAGCTCCATCCGTATTGTTGCAAATGGCAAGGTCTCATTCTTTATTATGGCTGAGTAATATTCGTGTGTATGTGTGGGTGTAGGTGTGTGGGTGTGTGTATGCATTTATCTGATGGATGCTTGGTTGCTTCCATATGTTAGCTATTGTAAATAATGCTGCAGTAAACATAGAGCTGCATATATTTTTTTTTTTGAATTCGTGTTTTTGTTTTTGGGTAAATACTAGTGGAATTACTGGATCATATAGTATCTCTTTTTTAAATTTTTTTGAGGAACCTCCGTATTGTTTTCCATAGCAGCTGCACCAATTTACATTCCTACCTACAGTGTATGAGGGTTCCTTTTCCTTCACATTCTCATCATCACTTGTTATTGTCTTTTTGATTCTAGCCTTTCTGACAGGTGGGAGGTGATATCTCATTGTGGTTTTGATTTGCATTTCTCTGATGATGAGTGATGAGCATCTTTTCATGTGTCTGTTGGTCATCTCTATGTCTTCTTTGGAAAAAAAATGTCTCTTCAGGTCTTTTGCCATTTTAAATCAGATTAGTATTAGTGTTTTTGCTGTTGGGTTGTAGAAGTTCTTCATAAAGTTTGGATATTAACCAAACTTTGGATATTATCCAAAGTGATATTAACCCTTTATTGGATATATCCTTTGAAAATATCTTTTCAGTAGGTTGCGTTTTTGTTTTGTCGATGGTTTCCTTTGCTGTGTAAAAGCTTTTTATTTTGGTGTGGTCCCGATATTTATTTTTGCTTTTGTTTTCCTTGCCTTAGGACACAGATCTAGAAAAATGTTTCTGTGGCTATGTCAAAGAAAATACAGTCTGTGGTTTCTTCAGGAGTTTTATGGTTTCAGGTTGCACATTTAGGTCTTTAATCTACTTTTGAGTTACTTTTATGCTGCAATAAAGTGGTCCAGTTTCATTGTTTTACAGTAGCTGTCCAGTTTTCCTAGTACTATCTGTTGAAGAGGTTGTCTTCTCTCCATTGTATATTCCTGACTGTTTTGTCTTAGATTAATTGACCATGTAAGTGTGGGTTTATTTCTGGGCTCTCTATTCTGTTCCATTGATCTATGTGTATATTTTTGTATCAGTACCATGCTGTTGTGATTACTACGACTTCATAGTATATCTTGAAATCTGGTATAGTGATACCCCCAGCTTTGTTCTTTCTCAAGATTGCTTTGGCTATTTAGGCTTTTTTCTGGTTCCATACAAATGTTAGGATTATTTGTTTTAGTTCTTTGAAAACTGCTCTTAGTAATTTTATAGGGATTGTGTTGAACCTATAGATTGCTTTTTGTAGTGAGATTTTAATGATAGTCTTCCAATCCATGAGCATGGGCTATTTTCCCATTTGTTGGTGTTTTCTTTCTTTCATTAGGGTTTTATAGTTTTCAGAGTATCGGTCTTTTATCCTTTTGGTTGGGTGTATTCTTATGTGCTTTATTATTTTTGGTGATTGTAAATGGAATTGTTAATTTCTCTTTCTGCTACTTCATTATTACTGTATACTGTATAGAAATGCAGATTTCTGTGTATTAATTTTGTATCCTGCAACTTTACTGAATTCACTTATCTGTTCTAACAGTTTTTTTTTTTGTTAGTCTTTAGGGTTTTCTTTTTTTAAAAATTTTTTTTAATGTTTGTATTTATTTTTGAGACAGAACACAAGTTGGGGAGGGTCAGAGAGAGGGAGACACAGAATCTGAAGCAGGCTTCAGGCTCTGAGCTGTCAGCACAGAGTCCAACATGGGGCTTGAACTCACGGACTGTGAGATCATGACCTGAGCTGAAGTCGGATGCTCAACCGACTGAGCCACCCAGGCGCCCCAGTCTTTAGGGTTTTCTATATACAGTATCATGTCCTCTGCAAGTAGTGAAAGTTTTGCTTCTTCCTTGCTAATGTGAATGACTTTTATTTCTTTTTCTTGTCTTAAGTAGTAAGACTTCCAGTACTATGTTGAATAAAAGAGTGGAGATCCTTGTTTTGTTCCTGGTTTTAGAGGAAAAGCTCTTAGTTTTTCACTAGTGAGTATGATGTTAGTTAGCGTGTAGGTTTTTGCTATATATGGCCGTTATTATGTTGAGGTATGTTCCCTCTAAATCTTTCATTGTTGATGGATATTGGATTTTGTCAAAACGTTTTTTCTACATTTACTGAGGTGATCCTTGGGCTTTTATCTCTTTTGTTAATGTGAGGTACCACACTGATTGATTTGTAAATATTAAACCACCCTTGCATCAGTGGAATAACTTGTGCTCAATTGTGGTCAGTGATTTTTTAAACTGATAAGAACAGATACTACACTTGATCTTAGCCAAAAGGCCGAGAAGCGATGGGGTCAGTGGTTTTTTTAAATGTATCATTGGATTTAGTTTGCTGATATTTTGTTGAGGATTTCTGTATCTGTGTTCATCAGTAATATTGGCTTGTGGTTTTCTTTTTTTGTAGTGTCTTTGTTTTTGGTATCAGGGTATTGCTGGCCTGGTAGAATGAATTTGGAAGTTTTCCTTTCTTTTCAAATTTTTGGAATAGTTGGAGAAGAATAGGTATTAACTCTTTAGATGTTTTGTAGAATTCACCTTTGAAGCCATAAGCCATAGACTTTTGCTTTGTGGGAGTTAATGTGATTACTGATTCAATTTCCTTACTAGTAATCACTTTGTCCAAATTTTCTATTTACTTCTGATTTACTTTTGGAAGATTGTATGTTTTTAGGAATTAAAAATTTTTTTAACGTTTATTTATTTTTGAGAGAGAGAGCATGAGTGGAGGAGGGACAGAGAGACAGGGAGACACAGAATGCGAAGCAGGGTCCAGGCTCTGAGCTGTCAGCACAGAGCCCAATGTGGGGCTCAAACTCACGAACCGTGAGATCATGACCTGAGGCGAAGTCGGACACTTAACCGACTGAGCCACCCAGGCACCCCTGTTTTTAGGAATTTAAAGAATGAAGTATGCCTGTTTATTTATTTTTAAATGTTTATTCATTTTTGAGAGGAAAGAGCATGAGTGGGGGAGGCACAGAGAGCTGGGGACGGAGGATCCAAAGTGGGCTCTGAGCTGACAGCAGTGAGCCTGATGTGGGGCTTGAACTCACTAACTGTGAGATTATGATCTGAATGGCAGTTGGATGTTCAACTGACTGAGCCACCTGAGTGCCCTGAGTATGTCTTTTATTTTTTTAATTTTTTAACGTTTAAAAATAATTTATTTCGAGAGAGTGCACACAAGCAGGGGAGGTGCAGAGAGAGAGAGAGAGAGAGGGAGACAGAGAATTCCAAGTGGGCTCCACACTGTCAGCGCAGAGCCTGATGGAGGGGCTCAGACTCAGGAACTGTGAAATCATGACCTGAGCTGAAACCAAGAGTCGGATGCTTAACTGAGCCATCTAGGAACCCCCCAAAGTATGTCTTTTTAAAATGAAAAATACTTTAATATTTTAATTTTACTCCTCAAATGTTTTTTAGGAGCTGTGGCCTTGAAGAATCTTGAAATTAAAGAAAATGCTCTGGTAGGTTTCGAGTATAAAAAATTTGTAATGTCTGCATTTAACTGTATATAGACTTTTTGATGTACTTCGTCATTTTAAATTATTCAAGCTTGTGAAAATTTTTAAAAAAGAATTTTTGCAAAATGTGTATTTTACAAAGTAGACTTTTAATCTCCTTTAAAAGCACAGAGTATAATTTTCCCCGTTTAAAAATGCTTCCAATTTTTTTCTTTCTATATGATTTTATTTTAAATGGTTAATTTTCCAGTTGTCTTCAAGTTTTAATACCATGGTAACGATTTTTTTTTTTTTTTTACTATAGAATTCAGTGGTATTAATTACATTCATGATGCTATACAATCATTAAGCCCTATCTTTTTTTCTGTACCTTTTTCATTGGGTCAAAGGGAATCCTATAACAATTAAGAAGTAATGCCCTATTCCTCCTCTTTGTAGACCTTGCTAACCTTTAATCTACTTTCTGCTTCTATGAATTTGCTTGTTGTACCTCGTGAGTGAAATCCTGCCATGTTTGTCATACCGTGTTTGACACATTTCACTTAGCTAATTCCTCTAAGGTTTGTCTGTTGTTTTTATCAGGACAACATTTCATTTTGTGGCTGAGTAATATTCCAGTGTATCTTTATGCCACGTTTTGTTTATCCATTGATACCTTGATAGACACTTGAGTTGTTTCTGCCTTTTGGCTCTTGTGAATAATGCTGCTGTAACACTGGCATACACATGTCTGTTCAGTTCCCTGTTTTCAATCCCTGTGGGTAAATGCCTACCAGTGGAATTGCTGGATTTTATGGTAATTTTATGTTTAATGTTTTTAAGAACTGCCACTCCATTTTCCATACTAGTTGAACCATTTTATATTCCTACTACCAATGCATATAGTGTCCACTTTCTGCACATCCTTGCTAACATTTACTTATCTTTTTAAATCTTTCTTTTTTTTCATTTTATCTTAAGTACAGTCTACTCCCCGAGGTGGGGCTGGAGCTCCCGACCCCAAGATCAGAGTCACATGCTCTACCAGCTGAGCCAGCTAGGCACTGTTCTTGGTTTTCTGATTATATCCCTCCTAATAGACATAAAGTGGAATCTCATTTTGGTTTCTCTTAGCATTTCCCTCATGACTAGTGAGGCTGAGCATTTTTTCATGTGCTTATTGGCCATTTGTATATGTTTTTTGGGTATGTCTGTTGAAAATAGTTGCTGATTTTTTAGTCAAGTTTTTGTTTGCTTGTTTGAATTGCATTTCTTTATGTATTCTTGATATTTTCCCTTATCAGATACATGATTTGCAAAATTGACCCCCATTCTTTGTGTTGCCTTATGCCTCTGTTGATAGTGTCCTTTGATGCACTAAAGTTTTTAATATTGGTGAAATTTAATCCATCTCTTTTTTTTTCTTTTGTTGTTTGTGTCTTTGGTGTGCTGTTCAAGAAATCATTGCCAAATCTAATGTCAAGAAGATTTTACCACATGTTTTCTTCTAAGGGTTTTGTAGTTCTGGTTCTTGTGTTTAGGTCTTATGTCCATTTTGAATTAATTTTTATATATGGTTATGAGGTAAGGGCTTAACTTCACTCTTTGGTGTGGATGTCCAGTGTTCTCAGCACCACTTATTGAAAAGGTTGTCCTTTTCCCCATTGGATGGGGAGAAATTCTTTTGAGGTTTTTTGCAAAGTGGAGTTTTAACCTCCCTGTAAGGACAAACTGATGATAAAATTTCCCACTTAATTTTCCCCTCAGACAATATAAAAGCAGTATGATTTTGGTAAGGGTAACTTAGGTCTTCTCTATTACTGCAGAACTTTCTCCCTATTTATTTAAAAATGATCAGTCTCCCTGAATGTTAAGGAGTTGAGAGTAATATGACAATTAAATATTTACAAATTTAAATAAGTGTTGATGGTAAAGAGAAGGTGCAAGTTAACTGAATCCCTTTAAGTAATTGTGGGAAGAAAAAAATAGTCTTCTGTTTTGTTGGCCTGTATATATACTAATATTTTATATGTATACATATGTTTTGTAGAGTCAACTGGATGTACCATTTAAAGTTAAAGTTGGTCATATAGGTAAGCTGTGCTTATTATTTGAATGTCCTTGCTGGACTTGCAGTAAGAATGATATGCTTCGTATCTCTTTAATGTGATATTGTTAATGTTTCTGAGCACTAATTGAAAATCATGTGTTTTCATCTGGGTGGAGCTTAGTAGTGTAACTTAAAGATACTGTGTGGTCCATGTATCCCTTGTTTAAAAACTATGAAATTATACATTTACTAGGTGTTAAAAATGAGTTGAGAGCCAGTGTGTTAAATTCAATAGCATAACAGTCTCTGTTTCTTAGGTTTCTGACTAGTTATTGCTGTCTTCCAATCATGGATGTCTGGTGTAAGGAGTAGGGTCTGGATCATCCAGGCAATGTGACTCGGAATGAGTCAGAAACTTAGTTTCTGAGGTTGTTTGCATACCTGTGTCCTAACAGCTGTCATTCTCTAATATTATTATTTTTTTTCCTACTAGACAATAAGTTTCTTAGTGTTTATTCTCACCACTTGGTACGATACCTGGCATATAGTAGGGACACAATTTGTTGAGTGAAGGAAGTACCCATTTCCAAATGAGTGTACGGCATTATAATCAGTTTTAAAGGAACGTATTTTCCCCTTGCTATTACTGGGTGTCGTTAATCTTATTGATCCTTCAGAGTTTGCTGCATTTAGCATGTGGAATTACATATATAGTAAATATAAATATATGGATATTTTGAAAACAGTTGTATTTATGTGGAAGATTTTTGGAATTGTCTTTGTTTTATATTTTTGTGTATTACAAATTTTCTAGAAATCTGTACTTTTAGAAATGAGAATTTCTGGTAATGAGAGGAAAAGGTTTTTTTTTTAAGATTTAATGGTGAAAGTGCTACATTATTAACTTTGTGTCTATTTCTTTGATTATTAATGCTATTTTGTCACTGTTCTCTGTTCTTTTATTTACTTTTTTGGATTATTAATATATGTGATACATGTGTGTGAGCTGTCTGATACATTTATAAATTGTATCAGATTTGTCGGAATTATTTTTTCTAATGGGTTTATTTCATTCTGGTTATATTTTGGATGGTACACAAATTTGAAATGGTCACTGTCTCCTGTGATTTTTTTTTTTTAATGTTTATTCAGTTTTGAGAGAATGTGAGTGGGAGAAGGGCAGACAGAGAGGGGGACAGAGGATCTGTAGCGGGCTCTGCACTGACCGCACCAAGCCCGCTGTGGGGCTTGAACTCAGGAACTGTGAGATCATGACCTAAGCTGAAGTGGGACACTCAACCGGCTTAGTTACCTGGGTGACCCAGTCTTCTCTGATTTAAAACTTAGGAAGTCATCCCTGTTTTAGAAATCAGTTTATTTCTTTTTCTCTGGATTGATGTTGTAATATGAAATCTTTTTCTCAGTTTGGGTTTTATTTATTTATTTATTTATTAAAAAAAAAATTTTTTTTTTCAACGTTTATTTATTTTTGGGACAGAGAGAGACAGAGCATGAATGGGGGAGGGGCAGAGAGAGAGGGAGACACAGAATCGGAAACAGGCTCCAGGCTCTGAGCCATCAGCCCAGAGCCCGACGCGGGGCTCGAACTCACGGACTGTGAGATCGTGACCTGGCTGAAGTCGGACGCTTAACCGACTGCGCCACCCAGGCGCCCCAGTTTGGGTTTTTTTTAAATGTTTCATTTTATTTATTCATTTATGTTTAAAGTTTATTTTTTGAGAGAGAGAGTGAGCAAGCGGGAGGAGCAGAGAGACAGGGAGAGAGGGAATCATGAGTAGCCTCCACGAGGTCATTGTGGAGCTGGAGGGGGGACTCCAGCTCAAAATCTGTGTGAGATCATGACCTGAGCTGAAATCAAGAGTCAGATCCTTAACTGACTGAGCCACCCAGGTGTCCTAGTTTGGGTTTTTGTTTTTTTTTTTTTAAACATGGAATTTTGGCCTTATGTAATGAGATAAATCTATGTAGATTTTTTTCCCCTTCTCCAGTTACCAGTTAATGCAGCCATCGTGTTATTAATTTTTCCCTTCCCAATCATGGCAACTATTTCTAAATCAATAGACTCCTGCTTTCTAAAATATTTAAAGTATTTTAAAACAATTAGGGAAACTTTTTAAATACACAAGACTAGAATCAGTATAATGAATACCTTACATCATATTTTTTAGTTTAATATCCCTAATGCTTTAAGGATATTTTGCTATTGGATTATAGTAAAACATTTTGAATGTTTGAATAGTTTGAATAATTTTCTAATCTTGTTCACAGTCTTCGATTATCATAGAAATCTGTGCACACATACACTTAGGGTGATAATCGTACGTATTGTATATATATTATCTATATATATGAAAAATACATCTTCAATTTTATAATCTACCTTTGGACAGTGTACTATGAATACTTACAGTGATTTGGAGTAAGAATTGGGGAAATCAGAGTTCTGATAATCAAGGATTGTTGCTTAATGGCAGAAGAGTATTGTTATGTTTGATGCAGATTGCCATAAATAGAAACTTGTAAATTTTTAGAATAGCATTTAGATTTTCCAACAGTACTAATACACATAATTTCAGATGATCACAACAAAGGCGTGTTGTTTTGGGTTGTAAAATAGCTTTCTGTGAAGTGACTCAGCTTGTTGTTTTGCCATCTCTTCTAATGCCTGACAGAAAACAGACTGGCAGCAAATGCAGGTTGAATGAATAATATTTTTTGTCCTTTTTAAAAAAAATTCATGTAGGTAATCTTAATCTTACAATTCCATGGAAAAACCTGTATACTCAACCAGTTGAAGCTGTCCTGGAAGACATTTATTTACTCATAGTGCCTTCTTCTCGTAAGTCAAATTTTAAACATTATAACTTCAAGCACTTTTATTTGTGGATGGAAAAATCTTTATATCTCAGTGATATTCAAAATACTTTTGGTAAATATTTTGAGATATTTTTATGTTTGAATTAGCATTTGGGAATTCAAATTAAATTGGTTTTTACTCTAGACTTTTGCAGACTTTGTATTAGTGATTATTTTTCAAGGGTATGTTTTGGAATGAGTATACTTAAACTTAAGATAATTAAATATTCTTTTCTGTGCTTCCTGTAGAAATAAAATACGATCCTGTAAAAGAAGAAAAACAACTCTTGGAGGCAAAGCAATATGAACTGAAGCGAATAGAAGAAGCAAAACAAAAAGTAGCCGATCAAGGTAAAGGAAACAGTAAATAGGAATGGTAATAAGAAAAGGAGAGAAGACCTAAATATTTATCACATGGGAATATTATTTTTCTCTGGAGGCATTGAAATTATTTAACAAATATGAGATAATCTTATTACATGGGGAATTTTAATGTGGTTTTGTCTATTTTTATGATGATTATAAAATTTTTACTTATAGAAACTTACTGTTTGACAAATAATACACATAGCTTATAAGGGTAAGGTTAGTTTTTAGCTATAATAATTAATTTCATCAAGTATATTTTCTTAGTTTTGTAGCTTTTTAATTTTTAAAATTGTTATTAAAACATTTTTTTAATGTTTACTTATTTTTGAGAGAGAGAGAGAGAGAGAGAGAGACAGAGGGAGAGAGCGGGAAAGGGACAGAGCAAGAGGGAAACACAGAATTTGAAGCAGGTTCTGGGCTCTGAGCTGTCAGCACAGAGCCCAACGTGGGGCTCAAACTCAAAAACTGTGAGATCATGACCTCAACCAAAGTCCAGTGCTTAACTGACTAAGCCAGCCAGGTGCCCACAAATTTTTATTTTGTAAAATGTTTATTTTTGAGAAAGAGAGTCAGAGAGGGGGAGAGAGAATCAAAGAGGGGGAAAGACAGAGGACCCAAAACAGTCTGTGTGCTGTCAGCACAGAACCTGGTGCAGGGCTTGAACTCATGAACTGCAAGATCATGACCTGAGCTGAAGTCAGATGCTTAACTGACTAAGCCACCCAGGCACCCTAGTTTTCTAGCTTTTTTTTTTTTAATTCCCCTTATATCAGTTCTTAATCTTTTGGAGATACTTAGTTGTTTGATATAATTATGTTTTCCCAAATCTTTTTGGTTACCCTCTGGCTTCATATCCTTTCCTATTCAGCCTAAACCAAATAGTTCATTATTTCAACCCTTTCTTTTCTCAGTGGAAGAACTGTCTTGCAGAAATCGAATTCCTTTCCACTTGTGTGGTGGTGACTTTTGTATTTTTTGTATTCTGTTCTGTCTAGTAAAACTTTCTCCTTAGCCTATAAGTACATTGTACCTGGTCTTATCTTCAAACACAAAATGATCTTCCTAACCTGGTTATCATTTGTCTTCTGTTCCTCTTTTGTTTAATAGCCAAGCATCTTAAAAATGTATGTATACTTACACCACTATCCTTGCCTTGCATTTATTTAGTTATTAATTAATTTTTTTGATAAAAAATAAAACCCACTAGTAAACATTTTACCTTTTGACAGAGAGGTAAAAACGTTAAAGGAGATTTAATGCAAATTCTGGCGACACTTCTTATAATTATATTTTCATACCCTGTGTAGTTGTTTATCTCTATCCCCAGTCTTTTTTTATTCAAATATTTTTTTTATTATAGCACACATGTAACAAAGTTTACCATCTTAACCATTTTTAAGTGTACAGTTCGCTGGTATTAAATACATTTAGAATGTTGTACAGCTCTTACTACCATCCATTTCATATCTCTTTTCTTCTTGTAAAATTGAAACTTTATAAGCCCTTAAACAACAATCCACCCATTCCACCCCCCCTCAGTTAGAACCCCTGGCGACCACAACTGTACTTTCTTGTCTCTGAAATTTTGGCTACTCTGAGTACTTCATGTAAGTGGAATTATACAACGTGTTTTTTTTCTAACTGGCTTATTTCACTTAGCATCATGTCTTCAAGATCTGTCCATGTTGTAGCCCAGTCACAATTTCCCTTTTAAGGCTAAATAGTATTCCATTTTTTGTATATACCACACTTGCCTTGCCCATTCACCCATCTACGGACACTTGGGTCGTTTCTGTGCTTTAGCTGTCGTGAATAAAGCTGCTCTGAACATGGGAGCACAAGTATTCCTTTGAGACATTGTTTTCAATTCTTTCGGGTATATACACACAAGTGCAGTTGCTGGATCATAGGTAATTGTACTGTATTTTTGACTTTTTGAGGAATCACCATACTGTTTTCAACAGGGACTTGTACCATTCTGCATTTTCACCAACAATGCCCAAAGGTTTTGATTCCTTCACATCCTTGTCAACGCTTGTTTTATCTTTTCTTCATGGTAGCATCCTAATGGGGATGAAGTGGTATCTCATGTAGTTTTGATTTGCATTTCCCTGAAGATTAGTATTTTAGTGTCTTTTCATGTGCTTATTGGCCATTTGTATATCTTCTTTGGAGAAATGTCTATTTGAGTCTTCTGCCCATCTTTTAGTTGGGTTGTCTTTGGTGGTTATTTGGCGCTACGAGTTCTTTATATATTCTCCATGTTAATCTTTCACTAAATACACGATTTGCAAATTTTCTCCCATTCTTTGTGTAACCATTCTGTTGATAGTGTCTTAATGCAAAAAATGTTTAAATTCCCACGAAGCCCATTTGGTCATCTTTTGTTGCTTGTGCCTTGGTGTGATATGCAAGAAATCATCGCAAAATCATCACCAAATCCAGTGTCATGCAGCTTTTGTCCTGTGTTTTCCTCTAAGAGTTTTATAGTTTTAGGTCTTAAATCCATTTTGAATTAGTTTTTTTATATGTTCTTCGATAAGCAAGGTCTGACTTCATTCTCTTGTTCATTCTCTTCATATCCCGTTTTCCCAACGTTGTTTATTAAAACTATTGTCCATTCCTGATTGAGTAGTCTTGGTCCCTTATCAAAAATCATTTGACCGTGTATGCAAGGGTTTATTCTGAGTGCTGTATTCTGTTTTATTCGCCTGTCTGTCTTTATGGCAGTACCACACTGTTTTGATTATTGTAGTTGTGTTGTAAATTTTGAAATCTGGGAGTATAAGTCTTTCACCTTTTGTTCTTCCTTTTCAAGACTGGTTTTCCTGTGTGGGAGTCCCTTGAGTTTCCTTATGAATTTAAGGATGCATTTTTTTCTGTTTCTGCGAAAAGTATAATTGGGATTGCTTTGAATCTGTAGATTGCTTTGGGCGGCATTGACATGCTAACAGTGGTTCCCAATCCATGAACTTGGGTATGTTTCCATTTATGTCTTTTAAACTATCTTTTTAAAAGTGTACAAGTCTTTCACCTCCTTGGTTATGTTAATCCCTAAGTTATTCTTTCTGATGCTATTGTAAAAGGAATTGTTTCTGTAATTTCCTGCAAAGATTCTTCATTGTTAGGGATTAGAGATATGCAGTTGATTTTTTGTGTGTGTGTTGACTTTGTACCCTGCTACTTTGCTGAGTTAATTAGTTTCAATAGTTGTTTTGTGAGGTATTTAGAGTTTTCTTCATGTAAGATCATATTATCTGTGAACAGAGATTTTACTTCATTTTTTGATTTGGATGACTTTTGTTTCTTGTCTGATTACTCTGGCTAGACCTTCTAGTAGTATGTTGAATAAAAGTGACAGAACTGGACATTTTTGCCATCTTTCTGATTTTCAAGGAAAAGCTTTCAGCCTTTCCATTAAGTATGGTGTTTGCTGTGGGCTTTTTGTATATGAATTTTATTATGTTATGTAGTTTCCTTCTAGTCCTAGTTTTTTGATTGTTGTTATTAAAAAAGGATGTTGAGTTTTGTTAAATGGTTTTTCTTCATCAATTGAGATGATCATATATATTTTTTTATTTGGTAAATGTTTGATTTGGTAATTTTTAGCAAATGTATTTGGTAAGTTGACTTCTATATCTACCCATCTTTCCATTCCAGCAATAAATTCTATTGAGTCATGCTATATAATTTTTTATAACACTTTTTTTTTAATGTTTATTCATTTTTTTTTTTCTTGGAGAGACAGAGTGTGAGTGGGAGAGGGAGACACAGAATCTGAAGCAGGTTCCAGGCACTGAGCTGTCAGCACAGAGCCCCACGTGGGGCTTGAACTCACAGACAGTGAGATCACGCCCTAGCCGAAGATGGAAGCTTAACCGACTGAGCCACCCAGGCGCCTCTTGAATTTTTTTAATGTGCTGTTGAATTTTGTTTGTTGGCATTTCATTATTTGCATCAGTATTTATTAGGAATATTGATCTGTAGTTTTCTTGTAGTATCGTTGTATGGCTTTGGTAGCAGATTAATACCTCATACATTGAGTTTGGAAGTATTTCCTTTAATTTGTTTTTGAAAAGTTTGAAGAGGATTGATGTTTTAAGTGTTTGGTAGAATTTACCAAAGAAGCAATCAGTTCCACGGCTTTTGTTAGGGGAGTTTTGATCACTGATTCAATCTTTTTACTAGTTTTATATGTGTGTGTATATATATATTTTATATATACATATATATTATATATGTGTTTTATATATATGGGTAGATGTAATACATATATCTATTCAAATTTTCTATCTCTGTAATTTTGTCTTGGTACGTATTGTGGTTCTAGGAATCTGTCCATTTCATTTGGTTAATCCAGTTCGTTAGGATACAGTTATTCACATAATGTGTATAATCCTTGTTTCTGTAAAATCTTTAGCAATACACCTACTCTCATTTGTAATTTTGGTAATTTGAGCCTTACTCTTTTTATCTTGGTCCATTTAGCTATTTTTCAATTTTGTTGACCTTTTCAAAAAACCCAACTTTTGGTTTCATTTGATTTTTTTTTTCAAGTTGGTCTTCTATTCTTCAGTTTCTCTCTGCTTGAATCTTTATTTTTTCTTTCCTTCTGTTAGCTGTGGATATAGTTTGTCCATTATTTTCATCTTGTTTAAGTTATAAAGTTAGGTTCTTCTGAGGTCTTTTTGTTTTTTTCTTACAGCTATAAATTTCCATTTTAATACTTTTTTGCTGTGTCCCATAAATTTTGGTATGCTGTGTTTTTGTTTTCATATATCTAAGTGTTTTCTAATTTCCCTTATGACTTGTTCTGTGATCCATTGGTGGTTTAACAGCGTTTTGTTTAATTTCCACAAATACATGAGTTTTTAAATTTTCCTTCCATTTTCTTTTTTTTTTTTTTTTTCAACGTTTATTTATTTTTGGGACAGAGAGAGACAGAGCATGAACGGGCTC